ACCCTCATTGCAGTCACTTGTCTTGCGGATACGTAATGATAGCCTAAAGGAACTATACTGCGGATTAAAGCTTTAAAATAACATTCTTCAAATAATATCAAAGATAGTTTCAATTTTGTATATATGTAATATATATAAATGTATTTATTTTTACACACACACACATATATATATATTATAGAAATACTTATGTGTCGATTGTACCTTAAGTTGACCATTGTAACATGTATATTCACAGGTCTATCATAGAATTGATAGAAGTGAAAGGCTGCAATCACTTATTTTCGAAGCATTTTTCGTGTAAAAGAAAAGAGGATCTTGTCCTGTGATTTTACATGTGTCATCTCTTATATAAGATAAATATACATATACGGTGTGTGTATGCACAAATGTATGTATGTGTTTATATATATACATGCATTAACGAATACATAATGGATATTTATAATATTTAAATAATATAGATAGATCTTTTTCTTTCATTCTGCCTCGTTTTGAGTACTGCTCTCCTGTGAGGGTCTCTGCTTAAGACTGCTTGATCATTCTTTTAATTCCATTCAATTTCCTGCCTGACTTAGATTTGGACACTGGGTATCTTACACAAGATTGTATCCGATAATTCACATCCCTTCTATGAAATCTTATCAACCTGCAGCACTTACTAGAAGTTGTATAACCCTCAATTCAATTCACATCCCTTCTATGAAATCTTATCAACCTGCAGCACTTACTAGAAGTTGTATAACCTTCAATTCAGTGATATTTGATGTAAGCCGTCTTTCTAGTTCTCAGTTTTCTAGATACTTTTTTCCTGCTATTTATAGACTCTGGAAAAAAAATGCCTTCAGAGACTGTAACTTCTCCGTCTCTTGATAAATTTGAAAGATCAGCTAATATGTTTTTACCTCATGTATATATACATATGTATAAATGCATATGTATATATTGTTATTTTTCATATATATATATATATATATATATATATATATATGTATATATATATATATATATATCTATATATGCATATAAATGTCTGTGTATATATATACATATACATATGCATATATGCATATGCGTTTGTTTGTTTGTTTTATATATATATATATATATATGTATATGTGTGTGTTTGTGTGTGTGTGTGTAAAGAAGCATATGTGTATATGTATATTTCTATATGTATAAACATGTATGTATATATATGTATATATAAATAAATATTTATATACATATTATCTTATTCATATATAAATATTTACATATAAATAAATTTATGTATATGGCTGTGTGCGTTTATGCGTATATATATATATATACATATATATATATATATATATATATATATATATATATATAATTTATTAACATGGTTTGTGAAATATTTCTCCTAATTTTTTTTTCTTTCTTTTTACAGCTATGCCTCTTCATATCTATTCGTGAGTTATCGTTCAGTTTCTTTCATTTACAGGCGAACTCCCATCAGAGTGAAATGCCCAACAAGAAAAACACCAGCAAGGAAAAATGGACGTAAGTTGTTCTGACTCGTTTACGATTGTCGCCTTTGTGGTCAGATATAGATCTATAGAAATATGTAACTGCGTAGGTATATGGAACTACATGTAAACATAAATACATAACTTTGTCTTAAATGTTTCCTTCACAAGCGCATGATATAAGTTCACTTGGTGGTCTACTTCCAGAGTAATCCTGAGGCATCTTATGGACATGGCCAACTGCAGTCTGCAAGTTACGGGGAGTTTTGTAATCCGGTGACTGATCAAGAACCAGAAATGAGGTGCTTAGATCCTACGACTTTAGAACCGGCAAGCCCTCAGCAAAAGTCCCATCCTCAACGCCCGTTACAATGCATGCCTCTACAGGAACCTGCACATGGATCCGACCAACAACATTTAACAAATAACCAGGCTCCTCTTGCTGTTCTTCAAAGTAATCTTGGCCGTAACGGCGCTAGAACAGAGCTGGTTGAGAGTGCCACTGATTTCACAGCTAATCCATCAAATCAGTATGATATGGACCTTTACAATGAAATCATGCATCCGAAATTTAATGGCAGCTTTGATGAATTCCTTATTCAGCAGCCAGCAACTCAACCCAAAGGCCTAGTAGACAATATTACAGACGTTTCTGCATTGCCTGATTTTCAAATCTCTGCTCAGCAGACTAAAGATAATGATGTAGAACAGCCATCAATTATACTTGACCCGAATGTGGAGTATGTAATATATGAGTCTGATGGTAATCTTTTTGGGTTATTGCTCCAGCCTCTGCCCAGCAGACTAATGATACTGAAGTATGTAACGAATCAAGCCAACACTTAACAAGTGGTGAAACAGACGCCCTGGTACACCCTTCTGCAGTTCCCGAAATAGATGGTACCTCAAATTTGGAAGATAATCCTTTGTGGGTTAAGCTTAAGAAACCTGGCGAAGGTCTTAAGCAATTTTTACGTAAGAACTGGTCTGAAATGTTACGTTTCTTGCCAATTCCTCGTCCAAAGAAAAGAAGTCGTAAATATGACTGGCAGGAAGAGGAACCTGAGGATCCAGAGAAATTAAAGAAATGGCTCAATGCTATCAAGCAGAAGTATTGGCGTGTTATGCAGGTCAAGGGCAAGGTCAATGTCAAGATTCCTACCACAGAAACGGAAGGCTTATTATGGCAGCAAAAATTTATAGCCAATTGTGAACAAGCCTGTTAATTAACCCCTGCCAGAATAAACCGTAATGATCTTCTAAGTTGATGGATACTGAAACGACAAAACAGTTAAAGATATTACAACCCAGTTCTGATACAGATCCTTTTGATGGAGTCCTCATCCAACAAGCATAACATAGACAACAGAATAGAAATGGCCTGTTTGTGATTCCGACTAATTACTCTTAATTACCCTTGTTAATTAGGTCATTTGTCGCTGCCACCATCTGGTTAGTACGTCCAGGAACAATGCAATATCGAAAAGAGAAGACATCTAGGAGAGTGTAACAAGATCAAAAGGAAAGTGTGTGTAGGTGTAAGAATAGGAAGAAAGGACCGAATTCACAAGGGCTTTGGGGGGAGTGCGTGCCTCAGGGGCTGATGGAAGGTCGTTAGTTGCTTGCCACAGGTAGCCAAGTTCCGGTACCACTGGTCTAATAAAAGGTTTTAATTAAGAATGGAGGAATTTAATTCAGGAAGCTTAAAAATACATTTATTGATAATACAACAAGAAACTACATTAAAATACAAACGTAAAAATTCATTAAGGGAACCCATAAAATTCATTGTATATGTGTGGAAGATCACTAAATCCAGGAGTGGAATAATAATAATTTAGTTTGTTTCAATGGTTATCCATGGTGCGAAAGGCTTTGCTTAAGAATTACCAGATGTGTAACGAACGCCCGGTTACCATCCACTGGCAACAAGGGATTTAATAGCGGGTCAGGAAGATTGCTAGACGAGAACGCTACCACTGCACCCCACAGGGGAATCAACGACATGACCCAAGACTGTTTAATAGTGTACAAAGGGTTAGAAACTCAACTCAGAGATATGTGGGTGGAATGTGTAAAGGAAAATCAAACGGTTGAATTCAGTACTAGATGAACCGCTAACTAGTGGTAGGGAAAGAATCAGATTCCCTCATTCAGTTCAGTTCTTCTTAGCTGAGAGATGGGTGGCCCCCAGATTGGCCCTAACATAAGCCACTCGTTGGACTGTTACTCAAACTAAGTAATAAAGTCTTATCCCACATCAGTGAAGTTGACGGCAATAGTTTTATCAATCAATAATAATCTCTAACAAAGGCATGGCCAAATTACCTTCCACATATCGATATTCAAATATGGTCAGATTTGTACGCTACAAACGAAGCGCCCCTGAAGGCTTAAGGGACAAAAGTGTAAAGCAGGAATGTCAAACTCTAAGTTTTCATTTCAGTTCCCATATGCGTGGGTCCTTAACATTCCTCTAATAAAAAAAACTGCCTGAAATAACGTGCTTATACATAAAGTTTATTTTGTTTAATGAATTTATATGGTGACACTAACAGTAACAAAATGCACAAGCATGAGTATGACATCCCTGTTACAATGGGCCGCACCAATATGCACATTGTAGGGGCAAGAATTGTTTTCAATTTATTATTGGCCTCCTGACCCCTATATGCTTATATATTTGCACTGCACTTAAAAACAATAAAGGAAATATAACTTAAATGAAGCCATACTTATTTCGCCCTTAACATATTTACTAATCATCCGCACAGCAACACTGGTTTGGTTAAGACTGATCGTGATGAACTGCCAAATATGTAAGTGAGAGTGTGTGTATGTGTGAGAGAGACTGTGTGTGTGTTTTTTTTTCGATTACCTCCCCCCCCCCTCTCTTTCTCTTTCCTCTCTCTCTCTCTCTCTGTCTGTTTCTGTCTGTCTGTCTCTCTCTCTCTCTCACTCTCTCTCTCTCTCTCTCTCTCTCTCTCTCTCTCTCTCTCTCTCTCTCTCTCTCTCTCTCTCTCTCTCCCTCTCTCTCTCCCTCTCTCTCTCTCTCTCTCTCTCTCTCTCTCTCTCTCTCTCTCTCTCTCTCTCTCCCTCCCTCTCCCTCTCTCTCTTTCTTCCTCTCTCTCTCTCTTTCTTCTCTCTCTCTCTCTCCCTCTCTCTCTCTCTCTCTCCCTCTCTCTCTCTCTCTCTCCCTCTCTCCCTCTCTCCCTCTCTGTAAGGGTTACTATAAACACCTCTATACATTGGTAACAGGGAAGTAGTAAAAGCTTAAGTGGCTAGAACTCCCTTTTATTGATGGAACTAGCACACTGAGAATATACCCACACGATGACAGTCTTGGATTATGGCTGGTCACTTGGGGTCATCCGGGATGCCCAGCCCAGCGGGCAGGTATGACCTCGACCGACCCGCGGCACACTCTCGTCGCACTCTGCTTTTGGGGATCCTCTGCAGGCCTTACATATCCGAGCGTTGGCTTGGGGAACGAGGGTAGGTAGCATTCCTCCAAGCCGCGGCTGGGCGGCGTGGGGAACGAGGCTAGGTAGCGTCCAAGCCGGCAGGTAGCTAGCGTGGGCGGCAACGCTGCTGGTACAAGCACCCACGTGGTCTGTATACAGTATATTGTATATTGCTCGGCCACCTACTCACGGCTCGTCCTCGAGGCGATCTAGACTTCCTCAAGGGTGACCCAACCTGGCTGGTTCCAACTTGCTCGTCCTCGAGCGGTATCCTTGGTGCATCTCCGTGGCTGCTCTTTCTGTGTCGTCATCCTCGCTCTGGTCCCTGGGAATCCGTTCGTCCTCGACATCCTCACGTCCTCGAGTGGTCTCGCACGGTCCTCGTCCAGACATCCTCGTCTTCCGCGCACAGGTCCAACTCGGCGGCTTATTCGCCCAATGCACGTCTCGCAGATCTCCGTCCAGGGCCTTCTCGGCTGCGCGCTCGTGCAGACGTCCTCGTAATCGTCGTCAGGATCTACGGGCGTCCGGCAGGCAGCGTCCTCGTCGACATCGTAGGGCGGCTGATACCTGCACTAATGAGCTCCTGGAGTTTGACTGAGTCTGCGGCGTCCAGGCAGGCGGCGCCCGTCCATAGCATCATAGGGACGGCAACCTGTACTGGCGAGCTCCTGTCTTCGCTGGATCTCGGGTGTCCTGGCGAGCGGCGATCCTCCGATGACGTTTTCCAATGGCTTCCGAAGGTGACCGTTTCTGCAGCAGGGCCTCCTTCGGTGCCGTTTCAGATATCGGGAACCAGAATAACACATAATGGGCCAGATAGTGAGAGAAGGAAAAACGACAAAGAAGAGAAGGTGTTAAATGCTAAAGCCGATTTTTTGTTTCATAATTTACAGTTTTTAAAGTTGAATTTTCGTTATTTTCGTCTTTTTTTTGTGTGTTTTGTGTTCACAAAGTTAAGAGAGGAAAATAGAAGAGGGAGACGTTGGTAGCGATCCGCAAGGATTCTCTTGAGCTACCATCATCTCGTGAAATGATAAAGTAAGGGAAACGACAATTGGCATTCCGCAAGGAATTACTTGAACCAATGTCGAAACAGAAGGAAAAGTATGTCAATACGAAATCATGTACAAGTCACGCATCACGACTAACAATATTGCGGCAATAAATACGTATGCCTGCAATTAAGACAGCAGCAAATCCTATTAATGAAGGTTTCAGTGTCTTTTGTCTGCGTCGGTGAGTGAGTATGTGTGCATGTTTGAGTGACAGTGATTGATGAGTGTTAAATGGAAGTAAGAGTGACCTCATAGCAGTAGCGTTGCCAACACGCTGAATAAAGTTCATATTAACAATAATGCGACTAATTATTTATAGACGTAATTCAAAATTATTTCAAGTATCGCATTGAATTTAACATTTAATGATATGCGACAAAATGACGCATTAATGAATGGTGACGTGAAAAATTATTCGCAAGCCTTTCGC